TATATATATATATATATATTTATCACACATTTTTTTATATTGTAGCAGCTGAATTTTACACATTAAAATATCGGGAAGGCATAAAAATTTTCTCTATTTCCGTATTAGCGATTTAACGGATGCTATAAATTTCCAATTTTTATCATTATAATTCGATTATACCGACAAAAACTGTATAGAAAAATTGCAAACTAATAATCAGTTAATATAGAAAACGTTGAAAATTTCATGTGCGGCATGTGTCGTCTTATAAAAATTCTTGAACTTTTCAGCATGACCCTTTCAAGCTTTGTGATCTACCACGAAAAGTAATTGTAAGAGTTTTCCTTCCCAATTCTTTTTCTTTTAAAAAATCTTTCTTCAACTACTTTTAAAACTGATAAAATAACAGAAAAGATATATATATATATATATTTATAAAAAAAATGAAGTCAGACTAACAGTTGCATTTGACAGGTGCTGAAGTGCAATTACTTTAAAGTAAATCCTCCTAAACAGAGTTGCAGAGGAGGATTCGACATCTTGTAGAATTGATGAGTTCTAGGACAGCTTCCGATGTCGTCTACTCTTTTAATGTCAACCTTGTAATGTTTCACAAATATTCGCTGGGTGACTTTGGTAAGATCAGAAATGGGATTTCTGACACCCACCCCCCAAAAAGCTAATCTAGAAGTTAACTGCGTGGAGAGAGAGAGGAGGCATGTTTCAAAGCCTATACCAGATGCTAGGAATTATTTGAAATCCATCTGTGACAGCGACGACTGAAAGAAGATGTATCGCTTTTCTGTCATCCCTAAGGGATTTACAAATTTAAAACCGCTCGGTAGGAAACAGATGTAGGTAACTTGCCCCCTTACGATCTTTTACCGACTCCCAAAACGTAATCTGTTTAAAACTTCTGGTCTTTAAGTCCGGAAGGTGGATCTGTCCCAGATGATAATAGGTCTTATACTACACGAGTATACAGAGATCGCTACTCGCCAGGTGTGCTTGACATAACATCACTCCGTTAGCTTTTTTTAGTCGAGTGTAAAATAACTTGAGAATCAGTGTGTTCGAGTTTCTTTCATATTTTTCTTCTATCTAAACATTTTTTTTTATTATATGGGAGTTAAAAAAGACACACCATCTTTTTCGGTTTCACTCGCATTTGAAGAATGTGTATAAATCTATATAAAGAGGAGAAAGAAACGAAAAGCAAACTTTAGAAAATATATTTCAAGCTAAAACGAAAAAAAAAAGAAAAATCGGATTAAGAATTCTTATTAAATCCGAAAAAAAATATTGCATTTTTTAGAATTTTAAGCAAAATATTATGCCTACATACTTATATATATTTATATATTTGAATGCCCGTTCAGTTAGTTACTTTATCAATTTTTGTAGCCTGTAAGGGACGAACAAAATGGATTTTTACAGAGAAGTTGACAACAACACATGTTGAAATATTAAAGTACTTTCTACGATTGTTAAAACCCAACGATATTTCATTATCAGCAGATAATGACAAGCAATTAATTATTAGTGGTGCGGCTTTATTGTGGTAGATATATCACATTTTTCTATCTTAAGTTTTAAAGAGATACGAAAACTCGTCCCATTTAGTTGATGATGCATTGGTATTGTAATAAAACTCTTCGATGTTTCAACACTTCGCTGCGATAGTTAAGTATCTTGTGGGCTGAAATGTCGAGTCTATCCAATCACGGTAAGGTGCACTTTCTATACATACACAACAGTACAATTTGTCATATTCGATGAAAATGGAAGAGGTGTGCTGGGTATACGGTTATGGAGAGAGGCCATAACGTGCCATCAGTGATAATTTAGTATCGGCAAGACAGAAGTTTGCTTTCAACAGTTTGCAAGGCTGTTTACAAGCTGGCTGCTCTGCCAATCCATTTTCATTTTGACTACAGACTTCGCCTGTTTATAAGGGGAGTGAAGATTCGTGTAAAAAGCTGACTTTTGACTCTTCGGCGGTATTTTGTTGTCAGTATGTCGAGACTAAAATACTAGACACATTTTCGCTTCCATTACGCGGTGTTGTGCTTTAGTTCCCTTAGGATGTATCTGAATTGACTGTTTTCTGACGTGCCTTCTTACAAAGATTTCCCCCTTTTTTTTTATTGGCATCTTTTGCATTTTCCGAAAGTGTCACATTTGTGCTTGATTCTGTTTAAACGTTATAACGATCTATCAACTATTCCCGTTCCGATAAAACTTAAGTTTTATTCATCGAATTAAAACTTTCTCAAACTTTATTTTTTTCTGCAAAATTTTAAAGGTTTTTCTAAAATTTTTCAAATTTGCTTGCTCTGTCTTAATTTAAGCTTTCCTAAATTTATTATTTTTTTATTTACACACTGTAAAAACTTAAAACTGTATTCAATAACTAGCAACTACAAATGGATGTTCTAGATGCTCCTAAAGTATATAAATGATAATACTCCTTATAATGAAAAACTGATAAGATGCTTCTATAATGAAATAAATGCTCACATAAAATAATATGTAAAGCATTGATATCTTTTTAACGCTTCTTCTCCTATAAAACACCTTTAAAGTNTTCAACAAGTGTAACAAAAAAATGGATAACTGTTTGGAGTAAGTTTGTAATATGGTTTTTAAACATATATAAAAAATCGAAATAAATGTATATTATAAAATTTTAATTATTTTTAATATTACGTTAACAATTACATGGATAACTGTTTGGAGTAAGTTTGTAATATGGTTTTTAAACATATATAAAAAATCGAAATAAATGTATTTTATAAAATTTTAATTATTTTCTTATTTGAGTAAATTGAATATATTCTCTTGAATTGTAAGTTTTAGTTAAATTATTGCTCAATTTGATGCAATTACCAAAATAATTTTTGTTATGTGGTTTTTTCCAATGTTGAATGTTTTGTATGTTCGTCAATTCTCATTTTATCTATTAAGTAACTTCACTCATTAAAATTCATATAATCTATCACTTGAATGTTATAGTAAACAATGAAGTTTTACGTGATCAAATTAATTCTATAAAAATAAATAATTCATTTGATAAATTTAATAAATACAGTGTATTCACTTTTTCTTAATTCTATGATTAACTGATTACTATTATTTTTTGTATTAGTAATTAAACTGAAACTTGTTACACAGTTTATGAATGTCAGCCAATACAGTATAAGTTATTATTTAACTTTGAACTTGTGACTGATCAGTTATAGATATAAATAAATACTGTGATGACAAAACTACTTTTGGAAACATGTTTCTAAATTTCATACTGTTATAGTGAAAATTTCGAACATTTAACTTGTTTAGTAATTGACATATGTTGTTTCTCATTAACTACTAGATCATTAAGTTTTGTTTTTCTGTTGTTGAATACATCTTCATATTTTTATCATTTGATTTAGATCTAAGTTTTTCTGTGCTTTGCTTTCTTAATTTGTTTTCTGTTAGGTATTACATCAAATATTCTTAAAAATATATTTTAGTTTTATTTATGATTCTATAGTCAAATTTGTTAATAATGCAAATTTTGATTGGAAGCTTCTATAATTTATCTTTTATAGATTCATCTGTTTTAACTAAAAATTTTTATACTAAGAGGTTTGGTTAAAATTATACATCTATTATATTCTTATCATTTTAACTTTAAATCTATAATTTTTTTACTTAACTATTATATCATTAACTGGAAAAAATCTTAAACAACACACGACATGGTTACAATATCAGACATATGACAATGTAAACTGTGTTGTTTTTTTATCTCATGTACATGCATAGGTTTATGTCTCCCATCCACACAAAAACAACTTTATCAACTCCTACAAATCACACATTCATACTCTAAGGATATGCAAACTCCATTTGTATGGAGTCCTTGGAGTATGTCCTAGACAAATGCAAAACATTTCACATAGAAAAGGAGTCCTAAAGAAAAGAGATTTTGCACTTGGAAATGGTGTTATTGAATTCATGGAAGAGGGTAAATTCTATAAGTATTTAGGATTTCAACAGGCCAAACTAACAGAACATTGTTCCATTTGAATTTTTCCATAGAGAACAAATAAAATGAAGTTTGTAATATAAAACAATATAAATCCTTCGATAAAAGGAAGAGTTACAAATTCACAACTTTTCCATTTCTTCTTCAGTTCGTTGAGGCACTTCCAATGATCGATAATATGTTATTACCACAAGGAAACAAACAATCTGAAAATTATATATAAAATATCAAATACTGTATTCATATCTTTATATTATTAAATTAATAAAATTAGTACATTTATTTGTGAATAACTTTTATAAATGTAAAAATGTATATGTTACGTGCGTTGCAACAACTTACATGTAATCCTAGCGTAGCCAGAAGTACAGCCGCACAAGCAAGAAGGAGCTGCAATATATATTGTAGTAAAATTATCTAATCAGAAATTTAAAATTTTATATTTAATCCTAGAAATAATAAGATAAATTTTCCATTAATAAGAAAAGCTAACACGGACTTCCTAGACAGTTTCCTTTTTAAATATAAATATTAGGTGGAATGACCTCTCCCGTATTTCGACAAACTAAAGATCCACGGGGATAATTGCAGTCACTTCAACTAAGTTCAGAGACCTTCACACAATGCAGAATCCCAAGCGGGTAACCCCCCTCATACTCGATTGAAGTCCATCAGTGACCAAACGGTTCTGTTCTGAACACTGGGAGTTCGGTGTGGGTTCGAGCATCGCCAAGATGGGCTGGCGACGTGGAGTTTTCCGAGTTTTTCCACGTCTGTAACGCTTGAATAGGACCAGTTACCTTTAAAAAGACCTTACGGAAGGCATTCCCCTAGGCAGATCACCCAAGTGTTGCGTCACAATGCAAAATCCACCTCATCCTCAGTTGAAGTGTCCGGATCAACAGAACTCGCGGAAAATTCAGACAATCGTAGCCCGGACTCGATTTAGGACCCCTCCAAGTGGCAAGTTCCTGATCCAAACTGAAACTTTCCCGCTCTCGGAGGGAGATCGAGTTTGGATCGGGAGCTTCGGGAACATTTCTTCGGTGGTCTGTTCTGGATATATCAGACCCCGGCTGTTATCCGTCAACCATTTTGATTTTGGGCCTGATCAAACCCATATATAGATCAATTTTTTTGTCCCGATGGTCGTAGAAAAAACACAGCATCTTATCTTAGTATCCACAGAAAAAAAAATGTTAAAAGCCAAACAAAAAAGCAAGTTGACCATCTTTTGCTTCAGTCATCAAAACTGAATTTAATTTACTAGTCATTACATTTTAAAATTTTAAGTTTTAAAATAATAATTTTTATAAGTTTATTTGAGTATTAAAGGAGAGTATCAACTTTTCCATTATTGTCACTTTTCTATTAAATAATAAATAAAAGTTTTTAAAATTCAAAGTAAATCTTAAACATAACAATTAAGAATTAAAATTCTCACCGAAATCTCTCCAGACAACATATCCAATACAAAAAAGCCAATAATTGCGGCAAGTTGAGAGAGCATTGAAATCATCAACCAAATCATCCATGGTATTAAGGCCAAACGTTTTTTCTAGAAAATTATTAAAATAGTTTAAAGTTTATATTATTTTTACTTTACTTTGAAATATTCCACTTACCTTAATCACGGCATACACCAGAAGCAAACTGAATGGAAGGAATATTAAACAGAATGTTAAAGATGAAGCGTACACCGCAATAACTAAAATCATAACAATTATCTGTTTACTATTTCATTTACATGAAATTAAAATTTTCGATAACTTAAAATGAAGAAAGTAAACTATATTATAAATAGCAATAAATTTTATTTAAAAACACTTACAAAAATATTTTGAAGACGGATGAAATTCGGAGATAGACCAAATGGCAATGACAGTAATTAAACCGATTGCAGACACAACCTATAATAAATACATTTGCATACAGTACTTAATATATATATAGAGAGAGAAAACAGAAAACAGCAAGAGAAGTAAAAACTAAAAAAATGATCCACCCCAGATTTTTACATTTTTGAACTCGACCTGAAAACGTCGAGAAATGCAAAAATATTCGAAAGTTATTTTTGTACGTGTGGGTGTTAATGTGTGTGTGCGTGTGTGTGTGGGGGGCACTATTTTGTTTACCCTCTTTGAAGCTTAATAACTCCTTTGCCTTTTGTCAAAAATTTCAGAAATTTTGCAGGAGGGATGGGGAGATAAAGGGGATAGTGTCATATCTCGAATAGGGTGGGACTTAATGACGATTTTCCTCGTTATTGGCATTTACAATTTTTTATAAAACCCATCCTTACACTGAAAACGAGCAATTATTTTATTGTGATATCGTCACAATGCCGGGTTGCAATTTTTAATCATATTAATTAATTAATTTAATCTAAAATATATGTTCTCTACCTGAATTTAGTATTGTAGTGCCCATGTCCCATGTACGGTACATCATACTTTCCCTTTAACAACGGAGTCGTGCCGAACATCTAACACCTTACAGGGGAAAATTTTTGAATTGAAATAACATGACTTCTGGTTTGCATCGAAAGTTCTTATGTAGTTAAATTCGTAATTAAATCACAAAGTACTGTACATCAAATTTTTAATGATTAGTACTAGTCTGCATTTTTTGCAAAATTAAAGTAGGCCTAATCTATTAAAAAAATTTATTTCATGTTTTATTGAAAGACAGTTAAATCGAGAGTCACGGCAGTGATTCTGCGCCTAGTGAAAAAGACACTTACTATACATTTAGGAATCAGAGTTGCCGATTTTCGAAGGTCAATTTCTCCGCTCCCAAACGCGTATAGTAAGTCTAAATATCTCGTTCGAAATAGAATTGTTTTCTTAGGTAGTGTCAAAAATTTCAGATTTTTCTATAAAGGGGTTGCCAAAATATAAGCAATTGAAGAGTGCAAAAATTGCCAAAAAACCTGTATTTCCTTCTCTTCTTCAACCGGCACTGCAGACACTCCTCGGGGAAAACTACCGGGTCTAGAATGCGCAAATTTTAAACTTAAGCTTTTATTGTTATCAGTAAAGTTCTGGCGAAACATTCGGGTCGATAGGTCAACGTTTACGAGGGTTCTCCATAAAGATATTTTACTTTTATCGCTTAGTTTAACGCTTGTCAGGAAAAAATTGAATGGATACGAATGACTTTATTCACAATGTTATCCACAATAATGAAAGCTCAAATCTATGCACATTAACATGAGAAATTTCACCAGAGTTTCACCAAATTTCACCAAAATTTTCTTAAAGAAATGTTTTTATGTTTACTACTTAATACGATTAAAAATGTATTACTATTACATGTTATAGTATTAATTATTTTATTACTAAGTTATTTATTTTATATTAGGAGTAATATAAACTATTTTATCCTGTAGTTCATAATTAGATGTAAGTGATTTATATCGTTTTCTGACATCCAAAATCGATTATAATAAAGACTATTGTTTTAAAAAACTTTATTGAATTAGAAGAGTATTTAACACAAAAAATAGGTTTTGAAATATTAAAATAATGTTACATGTTTAACTTATCACACTACCCTTTTTTTTCCGAGATAGTTTTATTGAAAAACTAACGTTTTCGGCCTACTTTATAGGCCATCTTCAGGCTTAACGATAGAAAAAGAACATTGGCGTTCCATTAAATAGAATACATAAATTTAATTGCAAAAAATAATAACAAAAAAACAAGAAAATAACTGAAAAAATAATACAAATACAAATACAATAAAAAACAAAGTCAGACCTAGTAATAGAAGTAACTTGTAGTCTTGTCTTAGTTTATAGTTACTTCTTTCATCAATTATTCCTTAACAATTTACTACAATGTTTATTTAAAGTATTAACTAGTGCNTGTGTGTGTGTGTGTGTGTGTGTGTTTGTTTGTGTTTGTGTGTGGCACGATTTTGTTTACCCTCTTTGAAGCTTAATAACTCCTGTGCCTTTTGTCGAAAATTTCAGAAATTTTGCAGGAGGGATGGGGATATAAACGGGATAGTGTCATATCTCGAATAGGGTGAGACTTAATGACGATTTTCCTCGTTATTGGCATTTTACAATTTTTTATAAAACCCATCCTTACACTGAAAACGAGCAATTATTTTATTGTGATATCGTCACAATGCCGGGTTGCAATTTTTAATCATATTAATTAATTAATTTAATCTAAAATATATGTTCTCTGCCTCAAATTAGTACTGTAGTGCCCATGTCCCATGTACGGTACATCATACTTTCCCTTTAACAATAGAGTCGTGCCGAACATCTAACACCTTACAGGGGAAAATTTTTGAATTGAAATAACATGACTTCTGGTTTGCATCGAAAGTTCTTATGTAGTTAAATTCGTAATTAAATCACAAAGTACTGTACATCAAATTTTTAATGATTAGTACTAGTCTGCATTTTTTGCAAAATTAAAGTAGGCCTAATCTATTAAAAAAATTTATTTCATGTTTTATTGAAAGACAGTTAAATCGAGAGTCACGGCAGTGACTCTGCGCCTAGTGAAAAAGTCACTGACTATACATTTAGGAATAAGAGTTGCCGATTTTCGGAGGTCAATTTCTCCGCTCCCAAACGCGTATAGTGAGTCTAAATATCTCGTTCGAAATAGAATTGTTTTCTTAGGTAGTGTGCAAACATTTCAGATTTTTCTATAAAGGGGTTGCCAAAATATAAGCAATTGAAGAGTACAAAAATTGCCAAAAAACCTGTATTTCCTTCTCTTCTTCAACCGGCATTGCAGACGCTCCTAGGGGAAAACTACCGGGTCTAGAATGCGCAAATTTTAAACTTAAGCTTTTATTGTTATCAGTGAAGTTCTGGCGAAACTTTCGGGTCGATAGCTCAAAGTTTACGAGGGTTCTCCATAAAGCTATTTTTCTTTTATCGCTTAATTTAACGCTTGGAAAATATTGAATGGAAACGAATGACTTTATTCACTATGGGTACGTTTACTTCTGAGCTAATAGTGCTACTTCCGAACACCGGAAGTGACGTCATTAGCATGTGTATTCGTGCTTACATGTCCAGTTCGAAAGTAAACTCGAACGCTAACAAGAAATATGGCGGTTTCCTGCAAATAATATTGTCAAAGCTGCTATTTTAAATGCTACGTTATAGATATAACTATTTGATTCCGAATCGGACGAGGATGATTTTATTGTGGATATAATTGTAGAAAAATAAAAAAAGAGAAAAGTAAGATAAAATAAAAAAGATAGAAACTTTTGTTGAAGAGGCTCTACCTTTTTATAAGCCAACCGATTTTAAACAACCTTAGACTTACAAGAGAATGTTTTGAAATTCTCTTCTAAAAAATAAGCCCAATTATAGACACCAAAAAATTAATTCCTCTGGAAGACGACCCGTGTCTCCTCAAAAGCAGCTTTTATGCTGTCTATGGACATTGGCAAATCAAGAATCATTCAGGTTTGTTTATACGAAGTAATACTGTATATGAAATTAGATGCAGTTTATAAGAGAACTAGCTTTTGCCCGCGGCTTCGCTCGCGTTAAAAAGTATTATTATTAATTAGGTATAGTTTTTACGGCTTTACTTTTGTTTAGCGTGTGTAAAAAATTGTAAAATAGTCTAACCGACAAAACCTATACTTAAACCAAACAAATGCCAAATACAAAGCAGAGTCTATAACCAAAACTACTAAACCGAAACAAAGCAAATGCAATCCAAAATATGCCAAGAAAAGAACAGCCAAAATCGTCAAATATAATCCGCTAGAAATATTTAGGTATAGTATGTACTATTAGATACGGCGGCCACTCATCATCGGGTATATGTAACTCAGTGAAAACACAACGATAGCGCGTTTTAAAATACTACTAACGCCATCTATTGTCAACATTTAGAACTAAAAATTATTTTGTTCGTCTTAATTTATTCGTTCCATTAGGTACTGATAGGTTCAAACTAATACATTTACATCCTC